TACAGTCAGAGCGTGTGTGTGTGTGTGTGTGTGTGTGTGTGTGTGTGTTCCCCTCGGGGAGCCCGGGAGAGGTGTTTGTGTGTCTCTTCACTGCCTTCGCTTTCCATTTCCTCCTTTGAGTTCTCATTGTGCAGCTCACACGCCCTTCTAACCTCCTTCGTTGTTGAAATGCAGGATTGATTTGACATCTCATTGTTTTTTCCTTTCAGCATTTCATGTCCCTTTGTCCCCTGTGGAAGGTAAAAGGCCTTTTCTTTTCTTTTGTGTTCAGCTTTGTTTGTTTAATTTTTTAAAGCGGGGCTTTCCCCAAAGGTCTCCCACCTCATTGCGCTGTGGCATCGGGGTGGGTGGGCGCTTGGGCAGGGCTGGGGAGGGGAGGCTTAGTGGACAAAGCCCTGGACTGGGACTCAAAATACCTGGTTTCTAGTTCCAGTTTTGCCACTGGCACGTTGGGGGACCTGGGGCAAGTCACGCCCCCTCTTTGTGCCTCAGTTTCCCCATTAGGCAAATGGGGGTGTTAATGTACTGACCTGTTTTCTAAAGTTCTTTGAGATCTCCTGATCGAAAGGTGGTGATGGGAGTCTTTCCCTTGACTTCTCTGGGAGCTGGTTCGTTCGTATGTCAAAATCCTTCTGCTCTAAGGCCCAAGGCCTTTGTTTCCTTCGCTCCTGGGTGATTTGTTTTCCTGTGCCTTTGAGGCTGTTCAGTTTTCTGCCCTCTTCTCCTTTTCCTCTTGTCCGTTCAGGAAGTTAATGGACAGTGGTACCTAGTCGGCGCTCGCCTTTCAGAGACAGTGCTGCTTCATGTGCCCCAGGCTCATGCTAGGGGGCGCTGTGCTGCAGGGAGTGGGGTGGCTGATCCAATATGGGGCGCACTTCCCGACCTAGAACCAATCTCGAGACCCTGTCCCAGCGTTAGGGTGCGCTATGCTTGCGGAAGAGGCCCAGCTGCATGCAAGACGTGAGCAATCGCAGAGAGGTTTTTTCACACGGTGCCGTGGCCAAATTCCAGTTGGGCCAGTTAGATCTTAAACTCTCCCTGCGCTTTCCAGTAGACAGGTCGTTCTCCTTCCTTTCCTGCCCTGCACCGCTGTGTGGCGTGACTCCGCGGCTGTTACACACCGCGAGAGAAACGTAGGCTGAAATGCTCCCTGGGCGGACGGTCCCACTCGAAACAGGCCACTGTGTAGGGGTCAGTTTCATCTTAGGGCCTGAAATCTCAGTCCCACGCGGCCTATGTAAGCCTTTTCTCTGCTGCCCGAGCAGTGGGCGTAACTCACTTATCTCCACTTCAAGGCCCCTTTTCACTGCCACGGCCATGCAAAGGGGCCGTGGTGCAGGGAAGATTCAGGCCAATGCTTGTGTAGTGGGATGGGGCCTTTTGGGGTGGAAGGCACTGGTCTAGCTAAGTGTCCAGATGCCCTAGGACATGAGTGCCGTCGAAATGCCCCCTGCATTCCTAGAGAGAGGCAGCAGGTTGGCTGAGGGAAGAAGCTCGCTCTGTTGGATAACAAGGCTGTTAACGTGTGCACATTAATAAATGGAGATATCCCATCTCCTAGACCTGGAATGGTCCTTGAAAGGTCATCGAGTCCAGCCCCCTGCCTTCTCTAGCAGGACCAAGTACTGATTTTGCCCCAGATCCCTAAGCGGCCCCCTCAAGGATTGAACTCACAACCCTGGGTTTAGCAGGCCAATGCTCAAACCACTGAGCTCTCCCTCCCCCTGGGATTGGACTCTGGAGAACCTTTTAAGCGGGGGAGGGGGGCGAACAGAGTCTGCAACGGATAACATCAGGAGCCATGTGGAGAGAAGTGGGGGCCTAAGACACCTCCAGGCTTTCGGGGGAGCCCACCCCCTGCTCCCACCTGCCCTGATATCGTACGCCGCGCACCACCCACTAGATCGTAGTTCTCTAGGTCGTAGATCTGTTCTCCCATGCAAGCCCCTGCAGGAGTAGCCGTCCCCAGGCGACCACCTGGCCTGGAGGAGACGCCCCGGTGTGAGAGGCTGGGTGGATGCTCTTAATTCAGATGGGAACAAGCTGGAGCTAAACCGAAATAAGAGCGTCCACACAGCGATTTGCACCAGGTGGACGAAATCGGTGCAGGTTTCCTGGGTAGATGAGCTGCTCGGCCTTCCTCCTGCTGTGTGATTTAATCTGCGGCCTGGTTCTGCAGGGAAACGCAGTCCAACGTTGGGAGAAGGATGAGTCTTTTAGGGGACCCTCCCGAACCAGGGGTGCCCTGAAAACTCCCCATAACCGGGTCACTGGTTTAGCGCCAGGCCGCCCGGGTGTACTGCAGCTTTGTAGCCACTACGCGCCACGGGGCTGCACTGATTTCGGACCCCGCTGCCGAGCGCCTCCAGCTGGGGGTTTTTCATATGCCGTCCGCACAGAGGCAGGGGGTGGTAGCTGGGGGCTGGTGGCAGCAGGGACCGGGGAAGGCCGGGGAGTACGGGCTCCAATTAGAGACGGGAGCTGCCCTGCCTCCCAGAACTCCAAAAGCGCCCACCCCACACCAGCCATCTCCAAGACCAGCCAGACCCAAGAGGGTCAAACTGCTGGGGTCGGGCTCACCACTGCTAGGATGTATTTAGCCCCTGGGGGGCTACGTAATGGGCTTCAGGTTAACGATTTAGCCATCAGTACCTATGTCTCATGTCTGTCCATCTGTCCTCCTGTCCCTGACTGCCCCGTCCCACCAGTTAAACCCGGCAACGTGAGGAATATCATCCAGCACTTTGAAAACAACCAGCATTGCGAGTCCCAAGAGCCTGGCACGCAGCGCCTCTCCACCGGCAGCTTCCCTGAAGAGCTGCTGGACTCGGACAGGTAGGGCTGCTGGGGGGTGGGGTTAATGAGATGGGTTCTAGCTCCCTGCTGGGTTCTGAATTAATGAGGTGGGTTCTAGCTCCCTGCTGGGCCTGGGGTTCTAGATTGATGAGATGGGTTCTAGCTTGCTTCCCCGCACGCACATGCGTTCTCAGCTCTTCCGGCCTGCGCAAAATCCAGCAGTTCCATGCATCTCGCCAACCCCGCTCCCCCGTGCAGTTCCAGGTCAGAGGTCAAGCTGGGCCGGTCGGAGAGCCTGAAAGGGCGGGAGGAGATGAAGAAATCGCGCAAGGCAGAGAACGTGCCACGGTCCCGGAGCGACGTGGACATGGACGCCGCAGCAGAGGCCACGCGGCTTCACCAGTCGGCGTCGTCTTCGGCATCCAGCCTGTCCACGAGGTCAGAGCCCAAAGCCCCGAGCCCGCGGGAAGGGGGACGAAGGCCTCCAGACGGTGCCTCTCATCTGTTTCTATTGGAGGTTTCAGACGGGCCCGATTTCCAGTCGGATTTGGGAGCTGAACTCTCATGAGCTCCCAGCCAAAAGTGTCCCCACTCGGGTCTGTTTTAATCGAGCGTGGGGCGAGAAAGGCCAGCCGCCCGGGGAGGTGCTGAGGGCCCGGTGGGTTGGTGGGCAGGCAGGGGAGCCAGCCGGGGTTCCGTCGTGGAGTTTATCCAGCCATGGAGAGGGGGAAGCTCCCGAAATGGCTGGCGAGATTTAGGGGTCTAGATCCCATTTTCAAATGGCTGAACCCTCACACACACACCACGTCCCCCAGCACTGTCAGCCGGTCCTGAGGAACCCCCCTCCACACACACCCACAAGCTCTTCAGAAAGTTTTTTACCTGGTTGACAGAGGCCAGGTTCCACCCCCAGGGACTCTCACTTGAAGGCCCCGATCCTGCCGAAGTTTGCTCCCCAGGCTGTCTTTGAGCCTGTGATTTTCAGAGGAGCCTGGGGAATTGTGCAGCCACCCCCCACCCCCCAGTCCCCCGGAAATCCCAGCCAGTCGCTCTTGGCAGCTTTGGGGGCGTGTAGTAAATGCGGAGCCAGGAGCTCAGATGCGGCAGGGTGGGAGAGCAAAGGTCTCTGGGATACCATTGCTCGGGGATTGAGTGCAGTTTTCAATTGCGTCCCCAGGTCCTTGGAAAACCCCACTCCTCCCTACACACCCAAGATGGGGCGCAGGTGAGTGACCCCGAGCTCTGCGTGCTCCAGGGGCAGGGTGGGGGGAGTTGGGTTTCGTGGTACAGCCAAGCTCCTGGAATCCCCTGAAACGCCCCCGTTTGAGCCAGTTCTCCCGCCTGTGTCTGCCTTCCAAAGGACCCTACGCGTTCGGGTTGGGGGGTGAAGGCGAGTCTGTGGCCCCCTCTCTCCCCCCGCCCCCAGTGGCTGGGTCACGTAAGAGGTTAACGAGTCTTCTAGCAGTGCCCGCTAGGGGGCTTTAGCCCTTTAGCTCAAGCATTAGAGATTTATGCTCTTCGGGGTGACGGTCCCAGGTTCGTGGGGTGACGGTCCCAGGTTCGAGCTGGCTGCATGTCAGCTGGATTGGGAGTGGGGTAGGGGCACCACATGGGGTCCATGCACAGCTGCAGGGAGTAACCGCCGCCCCTCCCCCCCAATATCCTCCCAGGAGCATCGAGTCCCCCAATCTGGGCTTCGGCACCGACTCCTTCCTCCCCAACCTGCTGGAGGATGACCTGGGCCAGCTGTCGGACCTGGAGCCGGAACCAGACTCTCAGAACTGGCAGCACACGGTCGGCCGGGAGGTCATGGCTTACCTGACCCACAGGGAGATCGACCGCCAGGAGGTGATCAACGGTGAGGAATCCTGCGGCTCCTCTTCCCTGGGGGCCGGGGTGACAGCGTCCCCGCGGGAGGGACTGATGGCAATGGCAGGCCCGGGGCGCGGGTGCCGGGATAGATCTGGGGAGGGACAGAACTGGTACATTTGGTGGCTTTGCTTGAAGTGTGGGGCCCAGGCTACCTTGGCGGGGTGGGGGAGCTGAGAGCCGGGCTGTCTCTGAACCCCACCCTCTCTCCCGCCCGGGGGCAGAGCTCTTTGTCACGGAGGCGTCTCACCTGCGGATTCTCCGAGTCCTGGACGTCCTCTTCTACCAGCGGATGAAGAGGGAGAACTTGCTGTCGCGGGAGGAACTGGGGCTGCTCTTCCCCAACCTCCCGGACCTGATCGACATCCACAGTAAGCCCCTGAATTCCCTGGGGTCTCCTTCACCCCCTAGGGCTAGAAATCCCCGGTGCCTGTCTCTTTAAGGCCCGGCCTGCTGCCGCCCCCGGGCGTTTGCGCCGAGAACAGCGATTGGAATCCCAAGTGTCCCACGTTAATGCATCTGTCACTGCCGGCGGCTGGTCCCGAAGGGAATTTAGCTGTAAGGCTTGGGTCTCCGTCTGTTTGCTGGCCTGGTGTGCGGTGATCTACAGGCGGTCAGACTAACGGCTCTGCTGGTCTCTTCTGGCCTTGAACTCTGTGACTCTAGAGGGGCGTCTACACGGCTCTTCGGGCTCGCGGGGCTACAAACAGCCACGGGCTTCAGAGCCTGACGTCGACGTGGCCAGTTTTAGCACCGGGCCACTCGGACTCTCTTCTGCTCCCTGTTGTCTCTACGGTCACCTGTCCAGGCTGGCTCCAGTACCAGACAATAGTCAGGCTGCGTGTGGCTATCTGGGGCAGACACGTTAAACGTACAAGCCAGGGTAGCTGCAGCCTCTTGGTAGTAAATGACTGAGACGGGCCTGTGCAGGCCTGTCCATGCCTCTCTGTCATTGGGCGCCTGCCGCTGAGAATGGAGGCAGCTCGCTCCAGGAATGGCCACTGCTCCCAGGGGTATCCGCTGCTGGCTGAGCGTAGGAGACCTGCACCGGAGGGGCTGTTGGAAAGGATTTCGGGGTGAGGAGCTCACAGGGACGTGACGAGAGAGGCTGGCCGGACGGTGTCGGGTGCATGGCGGTCGGTTACATCTGAAATGTAGGAATGGTCTATGTGGAATGTAGGTCAGCAGATCTCCCGGGCAGGGGGGTGCTGCCCCTCCTCGTTAGAAGAGGACGTATTTAATTTCTTTCTCCTTTCCCTCACGCCCCCTTCACTTATCCCCTTTCCTCCTTCCCGTCCTTGTTCAGATTCTCTGTCTGAATCCATGAAGAAGCTCCGAGAAGAAGGACCAATCATCAAGGAGATCGGGGATCTCATGCTTTCTCGGGTAGGGCTGGGAGAGCTACCAGGATGGTGGGTGGGTGTGGGGGGGTCTCCCTGTCCCCTGGTGCAGAAGGCCAAGGGGCTGCGCAGTGAAATGAACAGGCGGCACATTCAAAACCGATAAAAGGAAAGACTTTTTCACTTGCTATGTGATTAGCCTGTGGAACTGCCTGCCACTGGATGGTGCTGAGGCCAAGAACTTAGCAGGGTTCAGAGAAGGACTGGACGTTTCTGGGGATAACAAGACTATCCAGAGTTACTACAGCTCATGCGAACAACTTACGCCTTCCTCTGAAGCAGCCACTGCCAGAGACAAGATCCTAGGCCCCTGGGTCTTTGGGGACGAGGGGGTCCCGGGCAGTGCTGAGGGCTGACAGCTCAGCTCTGGTCCTTTGTCTTTCCCCGCCCCCAGTTCGACGGGCCGGCGCGGGAGGAAATCCAGCAGGTGGCGGCTGATTTCTGCTCGTACCAGTCCATCGCCCTGGAGCTGATCAAAACCAAGCAGCGCAAGGAGACCCGCTTCCAGATCTTCATGCAGGTACCGCGAGCTCCACTGCCCTCTTCTCCCCCAGCCCCCCCGGCTGGGACTCTGGTCTTAGTGATGAACTGCCAAACTAGTAACGACAGGTTCCCTCCTCCTCACCCCACGAGGGGGTCGTGCCCCCCCTCCCCCCGGGACTCCTGCCCCATCCAACCCTCCACGTTCCTTGACGCCTCCCCCAGGACTCCTGCCCTGTCCCCTGACTGCCCCCTGCCGCCCCATCCAACCCCTCCTCTCATTCGTGATGGCCCCCCCCGGGACCCCTGCCCCATCCAACCACTCCTTCTCTCTGTCCCCGACTGCCCCTGGAATCCCTGCCTCTGACTGCCCCCCCCACCGCCCCATCCAACCCCTGCTCCTTCCTGACTGCCCCCCCCGGGACCCTTGCCCCCATTCAATCCCCCTGTTCCCCGCCCTCTGACTGCCCCGACCCCTATCCACCCCCCCACAACCCTCCGAACTCCCCTGCCCTCTTCCAACACCTCCTCCCTGCTCCCTTACCGCACTGCCTGGAGCCGCTGGGGCTGGAGCCAGGGCCGCTCGGCCAGGGCCAGGCCGGAGGGAGCCGCTCGGCTGGGGCCAGACCGGTCTACGCCGCGCCTCCCTGGAGCTCTCCTCGCACCCCGCCCCAGCTTCCCTGCCTGCTGCTTGTTTCAGGCTTCCCGCGAACAGCTGATTCACGGGAAGCAGGGGGGAGGGGGAGGAGAAGGGGGGCAGAGCGGGAGCGTTCGGGGAGGAGGGGGAAGTGAGCTGGGGACGGGGACGGGGTGGACAGCTGCCAGAGCTTTCGGTAAATTTAGAAGTCCTTAGAACCGGTTGTCCCGGTTCTAAAAGGGCTTCTAAATTTAACAACCGATTCCGGCGAACGGGTGGGAACCGGCTCCAGCTCACCACCTGTCCCCCTCCCACGGTGGCTGCAGCGCTGTCTCTCCCTCCGTCTCCCCCCATCCCAGGAAGCCGAGAGCAACCCGCAGTGCCGACGCCTGCAGCTCAAGGACCTGATCATCTCCGAGATGCAGCGCCTGACCAAGTACCCGCTGCTGCTGGAGAACATCCTCAAGCACACGGACGGTACGGGGGGGGCTGACAGCGCGGCCACGTCCCCTCCACGCCCAGCAGAGGGGCCGAGCGGGGCTGGGCTGCGGCTCTTCTCCCTGCAGGGGGGACTCCATGGGGCAGGGCAGTGGGGGGAGCCTGCCTTGCTGATGGCCGCCAGGCGGGCAGGGGGCTTTAGCCCACAGAACTCAGCAGCAGCCCTTCCTCGTGGCCCAGGTGGGCGCCTGGGAGCCGACACGGCCATTGCCGTAGCCCTGTCTCCCCCAGAACGGGAAGCCCAGCTGGCCTGCGCCCACTCTGTTAGGTGGGGCGCCATTGCCCTCGAAATCCAGGGCGTTTCGCCCCGGTGTGAGACAGAGAGACCAGAACTTCCAGCACGGCCTCGCCCCCCTGACGCCCTCTGTCCGCCCGCAGGCGGGACCCCGGAGCACAAGAAGCTGTGCCGCGCCCGTGACCAGTGCCGGGAGATCCTCAGGTACGTGAACGAGGCGGTGAAGCGGGCAGAGAACCGGCACCGGCTGGAGGCCTACCAGAAGCGCCTGGATGCCACGTCTCTGGAGCGGACCAGCAACCCACTGGCGACCGAGTTCAAGGTACTGCCCGGCTGGAAGCGAGGGAGGGGGGGACTCTGTCCTAATTTCCCTGCATCCCCAGCCGGGGAGAGCCAGCAACTAACCGTGCCTTCCCCACTGTGCCCAGAACCTCGACCTCACCTCCCGGCGCATGATCCACGAGGGGGCTTTGAGCTGGCGCATCAGCAAGGAGAAAACGTTGGGTATGTACCTCCCAGCAGGGCCCGTGGCTGACATGTCCCTCTGCCTTCAGTCCAAAACCCCCACCCCCGAGAGCCCCCCAGGACCCTGGTCTCCAAGGAGCTGCAGTGGGGAACTCTATTAGCTGCTAGCATTAGCAGGCTTTTATCCGCTGGGGATCCTTCACTAGAGGGACCCCCGATCGCACCATTCTTCCCCAGCAGGGGTCAGCTTTCCGCCTTCTCGACTGGCCCCGAGAGAGCCGGGGGTGGGGCGACGCAGCAGGGCAGGACAGAGCGTGGGGATCTAAGGTCGGGGGGACTTGTCTTCAGGCCTGTGTGTTGCTCGCTCCCCATCAGCCCTGCAGAGGACGCTGAGGAGCCGGTTAGTCCCTGTTCTCTGAGGCTGGGCTGGGGAATGGAGCCCATGGGAGTTAGGCCCCTGAGCTCTTTGGACTCCCAGCGAGAGTCTGGGGCCAAAGGTTTGCAAATTCCCGCCTAGGGGCGGATCTGGCCTGTCCCTTAGTGCTCACGCCAGACGGGTCACCCTGGGGCAGCCTGGCTCCCGCGTCACCGTAGAGGGGGAACCAGAGGAGCTGGGTGACCGGGTCTGCGTCCGGCCTGTGCAGATCTGCACGTGCTGCTGCTGGAGGACCTCCTGGTGCTGCTGCAGAAGCAGGACGAGAAGCTGGTGCTGAAATTTCACAGCAAGACGGCGCTGGGCTCCTCGGACACCAAGCAGACCTTCAGCCCCGTCCTGAAGCTCAACTCCATGCTCATCCGCTCCGTGGCCACAGGTAGCGAGCGGGAGAGGCCCGGGGGTGCTCTGCCCAGGCGGGCGGCTGGCGCGGGCGTGGATGGGGAGGGGGAATCTCGTCTCCCCCCCGGTAGGGGCGTGGGCATGGGAACAGCTCCGAAGCAGAGCCCTGTAGGCTGTGGTGCCCGAACATTCCCTGTAGCGTCCCGTCTCTCCTCTGTGCAGACAAACGAGCGCTTTTCATCATCTGCACCTCGGAGCTGGGGCCCCAGATCTACGAACTGGTGGCGCTGACGCCCTCGGAGAAAAACACGTAAGGGCGTAACGACGGGTGGAGAGGGAGGGGCTGTGGGACGTTCCTTGGGGCATTGGGGGGATGAGAGGAGTCCACGCACCAAGGTAACTAGCATGTCCTGGGGCTGTGGTGGCAGGGGGCTGCAGGTCGGGAGTGAGGGGCACCCGCAGAGCTGGGGAGGGTGCCCACGGCTGGGGTAGTAGAGGCTGTGGGTCAGGAGTGAGGGGCGTCGTAGAGCTGGGGGGAGCAGGGCTGGACTAGCAGGGGGCTGTGGGTCGGGAGTGAGGGGCACTGGCAGAGCTGGGGGTTAGGGTGCCCTCCCCTTGGTGCAATCCTGTCTGTGTGAGGGGGTGGAGCTCTGCGAGGGTGGGGGCGGAGCCAAAGCCCTCGGGTCTGGTCTCCGAGCAGGCAGCAGCCGGTGGGTGCCGGGGCCGTAACGCCCCCTCTCCTCGGCCTGGCAGGTGGATGGAGCTGCTGGAGGAGGCGGTGCAGAGCGCCATGAGGAACGCCACCTCCCCCCCCAAACGCAGGGCCCGGGAGCTGCCCATCCACAGGCCGGCCCCGTCCAGGTGAGCAGCGCCACCCTGGGGCCTCGTTGCAGCGGCCGGGGGGAGGGAGGGAAATGGGGACATCCTGGCCGCGGGGCCTTTCAACAGCCACAGCGGGACGGGTCTGGCCTAGAAGTTCAGGGGCAGCAGGGAAGGGGGCGGGGGCACGGCCAGGTCTCCATTCCTGCTCGGAGCACTTGGGGATTTCTCTCCAAGGCCTGCCCTGGCTGAGCCGGGCACAGATCAGACTGAACCCCAGCCCCAGAGGCTGGCTCGCTGTCCCCCTCCAGGGGCCAGGCCAGGAATAGAGCCCTGCGAATCTCACGCTGCCTTTTAGATCTAGAGCAGGGGTCGGCAACCTTTCAGAAGTGGGGTGCCGAGTCTTCATTTATTCACTCTCATTGAAGGTTTCGCGTGCCAGTCAGACATTTGAACGTTTTTAGAAGGTCTCTTTCTAAAAGTCTGTAATATAGAACTAAACTGTTGTCGTATGTAAAGTAAATAAGGTTTTTAAAATGTTTAAGAAGCTTCATTTAAAATTAAATTAAAATGCAGAGCCCCCCGGACCAGTGGCCAGGACCCGGGCAGTGTGAGTGCCACTGAAAATCAGCTCGCGTGCCGCCTTCGGTGCATGTGCCATAGGTTGCGTACCCCTGATCTAGAGGGACCCAGGTTCGATTCCCCCTGAGGCTGGGCGGCTGCCCTGGGAGACCAGCCCGGGGGCCACGTGTCTGGAGGCACCGGCCTCTGCAGGGCTGAGTCCCTCCCTGCTGCTAGAGTGGCTGGTGGCTCAGAGCCGTGGGTAATTAAGGCCCCGATCCTGTGGGTGAAGTGAAGCCTCCAGCCAAGTCAGCCTTGCTCCACGGTCCCGCTTTGGCCCCCGGCTGCTTGGCGTGCCCTGCCACTGCCCATCTAACTCGGCTCTTGTCCCCGCCAGCCTGGTGCTGCAAGACCCCGACGTCTCCCCGATCCTCTCCCAAGCCGACAGCTCCGGGGCGGAGGTGGACGATGTCTCTTCAGGTGAGCTCCCCTCCCAGCTCAGGCGCCCCCCACTCCCTCTGCCAGGGGGCTCTGGCAGCCAGCAGCTTCCAGCCGCCTGCTGTGGGGCCCGGAGCAGCAGCCCATATGTAGGTGGCGCAAGGGGAGCGTGTGGGGTGATAATGGGAACCTCCTGTGAGAGGATCTAGGTGTCTGACCGGCCCCACTCCAGGATCCCAGTTCCCGCTGCACGCTCGGCTCACTCTGATCTCCTTGTGACGGGCTGGGGGCCGGCCCCCAGCCACTCCCCCCCACCCCCGTCATTTCTGGGCCTGGCCCTCCGCCGCTGCCTAGTCCAAACGCCCCTCTGTGATCTCTCGCCCCTGCCCAGCGGATGACAATCCCACCGACTTCCTGGGCAAGGAGAAGCATCCGGTGCTGCCGGAGGAGCCGGAGGCTGAAGGCAGTGAGGAGGAGGAAGAGGGGGAGGAGACGCCGGCTGCCCCTGTGCCGGCACAGAGCTCTGTGGAGTTAGATGAAGCTGGAGCGTCCGAGGCCCCGGGGCCCAGCATGTGCCTGTCCCTCCCGGGACTTGTGTTGACAGAGGGACTGGCCGAATCAGCCCTGGAGGACGGTGAGTGAAGGCTGGGTCATGATGCTGCCCATGGGGGCCCATCCCTGGGGAGAGAGGAGGGAGCGGCTTCTCTGAACCAGAACCTGGGTTTGAGCCGTCCCCGTCTCTTATCACACACACAAAGACACACAGAGACACTCTGTGTCTGTGTCTCTCGGCTCAGCCGTCTCTAGCCCAGTGCGTACAGAGGAGCAGGGGGAGGCTGAGGGGTGTGGCTGAGCTGGGAGAGAAGGGGGTTGTGGGTCAGGATTGAGGGGCACCGGCAGAGCTCTGGAGGTGGGGTTTGCCCTGTGCCCGGTTCGAGCTAGTGCTACCAGCCCCTTCACTCTCCCAAACCAGTCGGTGCTTCCCACCCCCCACCTCCCCCAAAGCTGTGGTGAGAAGGTTGCTTGGAGCCCAGGAGGGTTTCTCTGCCCCGTGGTGCTCTCATACCCCATCGGACCAGCTGTGTCCAGACACGCCCCTTCCGCGGGTGCCCCAGGAGATCTAGAATCAGACCAGGCACTTGGTTCCCGTTGGGGGAGGCCTGGGGGGGCTCTGCAGCGCCCCCTCTGGCTGAGCGAGGAGGTGCATGCATCGGCGCCGAAGCCAGCCTGCATCCAGCCCTCCGGGTGGGGGATTCCCTTCCAGGGCCCGGCCCAACCTGCTCGTCTTCTCTCCCCCTCCTAGTGGAGAACCTGCGGCATCTGATTCTGCGCAGCCTGCTGCCCTGCCGGGACCCGGAGCCTGAGGACGACCTGACCCCCACGCCCTCGGTGGCCGGAGGAGCCGGGCAGCCCTGGGACGCTGTGCTGTCCAGCCAGGACTCAGGCTGCCAAGAGCAGTCGGTGGAGCCCTCCGGGCAGGGCGGCCCCACCACGGACAGGGCTGGTCTCCCGGGCCACTCGCCCAGCGGCAGGACGGAGACTGAGACGGAAAGCCGGCCGAGCGCGGGGGACGTGGAGGAGCCGGGCTGGAGTTCGGACGGCAGTCGGGAGGCGTCCCAGGAAGTGGAGAGACCCCCAGCTGCGGAGGGGCAGGGCGGCTACAAAGTGGTCCGGAAAGGTAGGGGGAAGGCGGGGCCTCCGGGGGGTAGCTCCTCTCCAGGCTTCAAGGGCTGTTCCCTGCTGTTGCCCCCGGACTCTTCTCCGTGGGGTTTGGCTACCAGGACAGCAGCCACTTTGCATGGCCATCTGCTGGGTCAAAGCCGCGTGGACTCCAGCGGGCTCCTGTCCCCCCGCCGAGGGCGGTGGTTCCCTTCCCCTCTGTCCAGAGGAGTGTTCGGCGAAGGGCTGGTAAGTGAGAGAGCCCTGGGGGTACGCGCCAGCTCCTGACCGCTCGGATGCGCCATTGATTACGGCATCCATTGGACCCTTGAGGCCCCAGCCATGGGTATCCGCTGTGATCCCGGGGGTGCCGTCCGGCCCCGTCTCCTGGGGCCCGGGGGCTGTGAAACCAGTCGTGTCCGTGACTGGCTCCTAGGGCAGCCCCTCTCCTTCTGTCACTAAACCCCTGCCTGCCTGGCGAGCCTGGTGATTTGCATGAGATCTGCCACCCTTGGGCTGCTGCAAACCCTCTCCTCTCTCTGTCTGGGCACAGCTGGTGATTGGGTTCTGATTCCTTCAATCAATCAATTTCTCTCTCCCCTTCTCCCCCCCCCCCTCGACATTTTCTCTTCTTCCCTCCCTGCTCTTTTCCCTGGTGTCTCTGCACAGCTGAGGTGGAGGGCACTAAGGATGCCACGCCCTTGGCAGACAGCAGCCAATCAGAAACTGAGTTGCATGAAGGAGGCGGAGCTAATGTAGATGGTAAAGAAAAAACAAACCCTTTTTCCTCTTGGGCCCCAAGAAAGGCTAGAAAAGGGAATCGCAGAGGGACTAAGACAGGAGGCAGGGGAGAGGCCGCTGGCCAGGCCAGGGGCGGCTGGGAGGCAGGACTCCTGGGTTCCATCCCCATCTCTAGGAGGAAGTGTCCTGCTGTGCAGCTGGGCAGGTCCTTTATGGCCTGGTCCCGTCCTGGTTTCATCAGGAGTTGTTTGCCTGAGAGGCGACTGTAGTAACTGGCTTGTAGGTGGCAGGTCAAGGCCGAACGCTGCTCGCCTGTATGAAAATGGCTCCCTGCACATACCCAGAGCTGGTCCACCAGCTTCCCTGTCTCAGATGAGTCCCCGCTCGAAGTAATAGACTTCAACTCCGGGACGGCTTTCGACTTGGTACCGCTCGACATTTGGATTGAAAAGCTAGGATTAAATGGATTAAAAACTGGCTCACTGATAGATCTCCAAATGTAACTGGGGAACTGTCACGGAGCGGCGCAGTTTCCAGTGGGGGCCCACGGGGATCAGGTCTTGGCCCAGCGCTCTTTAATCCTTGACGTGGCTCAGTTGGGCTGAACAAGGAGAAGGTTAAGAGGAGACTTGATGGCGTCTACAGGCACCTACACAGGGAACGAATATTTAATAATGGGCTCCGCGGCTAGCAGAGAGGGGTCTGACATGAGCCAGTGGCTGGAAGTTGAAGCGAGACAAATTCAGATTGGAAATAAGGCGTCAGTTTTTAGCAGCTGGAGCAATTGGCCGAGGGTGGTGGTGGATTCCCCGTCGCTGACCGTTTTTGAATCAGGGATGGGAGGTTCTTCTAAAAGCTCTGCTCTGGGGCATTATTTGGGGGCGGGTCTCTGGCCTGGCTATGCAGGTGGTCACAATGGTCCCCTCTGGCCTGGGACTCCGTGAATCTGTCTGGATGCAAAGAGGGAGAGGGAGCTGGACTCGCTACCTGAATCCTGGCTGAATTTTTCAAACCTGGGTGCGGAAAGTGACGCACCTAAATCAACAGCAAGCTAGTAACGGATCAGGGGGTTGCTTTTGCAGCGCTGCTGGGCGAGGGGGGGGTGCATACCCCCTCTGGCACATCAGGGCACTTGTCGAAGGGTGGAATTTTCAGAAGCAGCCCCACTGCCTTTCGAGGCTGGTTACGGTTCTGAATAACTAATCACCTGAATTAACTGTTGCCTCCTCTTCCCCCAGCATTTTTCAGGCATAGCTCTCCAAACGCCTCACCAGGGAGGTCGGTATCTTTATCCCCATTTGGCAGATGGGGAAACTGAGGCACGTGGCCATGAGGTGACTGGCCCCTGGGTCACCCAGCAGGCCCATGGCAGAGCTGGGGTTAGAACTCTTGAGTTCCAGTCCAGGGCTCTATACTCTAGGCCATGCTGCCTCCCGGTTCAGGCACCATCTGTTTTGAAACCAGGACTTGGGACTTTTGAAAACGTTGCGTTAAGAACTGAAAGCAGACAGGGCTAACGAGGTCTCAGTGATGTCAGTGGGCTTTGAACCAGGCTCTGATTTTGAACATATCGGCCCTGTAGGTTTCTATAGGGAGCTCAGAGTCCCCTGGGTCCTGGACTCACAGGCTAAACAGCTTTTCTACCCCCTCCCCTGTAACGCAGGGAATTACTTCTACGTCAGCATGCCCGCCGGCCCTGCAGAGTCCTCCACCGAGCCCCCTGCCCCCAAGCAGCCAGCGAGCCCCGTGGAGCAGTCCCCCAGCCCGCCCCACCCCGCCCTCGGCTCCCGGCAGCACGACCAGGACATCACGCCGGGCCCCGGCAGCCTGGATGGGGCCCCACCCCCCGAGCCGCCCGCCCCCAGTCTGGTGATCCAGGACGTTGACATGATCTTCCGGACGATAGAACAGCTCACGCTGAAACTCACCAGGCTAAAGGTGAGCGGAAGGTGGGGAGCTGTCATGGGGGGGGATCGGGGGGGACTAAGATCCTTTCCATTGAGGGCAGGGACTGGCTCTGCCAGGTGATGGGAGCAGGGAAGAGAAGCTGCATCTGGTGCCACAGGGTGGGGAGCCCAGACCCAGGCAGGGTAACGCCCCGCTGGAGCCCAGAGTGGCGAGGGCACCAAGGCCCTGTTACATAGCGCTGGGCAGTGCAAGGGGCTTTGGCCAAGCGAGGAGCCGGTGGGGGGCCAGGTGAGACAGGGCTGGCGTGCACCTGGGATGTGCAGAGGTCTGACACCGAGTCAGGCTGGGGCCCCCCGTTCCCACCGACTTGTTTCTCTCCCGCTTGGCTCCTTCAGGACGTGGAGATGGCCCATCGCGAGTTGCTGCGGTCTCTGGGAAGAGGTTCATCGGCTGAGACCACCCCGGTGGGGGCCACCGCGCTGGAGACGGGCCGGTGGCTGGAATGCCCACCCAGCCCTGCCAGCGATCGCTGCTCCTCCCCTGCCCAGCGAGGCTGCGGGCCCCGACAGCCAGCGAGCCCGGTAAGCGGAAGGGACTTTGTAAGCCCCATTGAACGCACCCTGAACCCCTTGCCCGGACCTGGAGCTGCCCCCACTGTGCCTGGTTACCATAGCCGTGCTTCCACTCACTTTCCTGGGGGCCAGCTGCAGGGCCGGGACCCAGCAAATGCTAGAAGTGTAAATAATAAGATGGGTGAATGAAAGTGCCTCGTGTTAGAGGAGGACATCGATAGAACAGGCATCACAGACACTTGGTGGAATGAGGATAATCAATGGGACACTGTAATGCCAGGGTACACAACATATCGGAAGGACAGAACAGGTCGTGCTGGTGGGGGAGTGGCACTAGGTGTGAAAGAAAGCGTAGAATCAAATGAAGTAAAAATCTTAAATGAACCAAACTGTCCCATCGAATATCTATGGATAGTAATTCCATGCTCGAATAGCAGTAGGGATATATTACCGGCCGCCTGACCAGGACGGTGCTAGTGACTGTGAAATGCTCAGGGAGATTAGAGAGGTTATTAAAATAAAAAACACAATAACAATGGGGGATTTCAACTCTCCCCAGAGTGACTGGGTACATGTCACCTCGGGAAGGGATGCAGAAGTCAAGTTTCTTGACATCTTAAATGGCTGCTTCTTGGAGCAGCTAGTCTAGAACCCGCGAGGGGAGAGGCAATTCTTGATTTAGTCCTAAGTGGAGCACAGGATCTGGTCCAAGAGGTGAATATAGCTGGTAACAGTGACCATAATCTAATGAAATGTAACATCCCTGTGGCGGGGAAAACACCACAACAGCCCAGCACTGTAGCATTTCATTTCAGAAAGGGAACTACACAAAAACGAGGAGGTCAGTGAAACAAAAATGAAAAGGTCCAGAGACTAGAGTGAAATCCCTGCAAGCTGCGTGGAAACTTTTCAAAGACACCATAATACAGGCTCAACTTAAATGTATCCCCCAAATTAAAAAACAAGTAAGAGAACCAAAAAAGAGCCACCATTCTTCTTAGGTGACAGATCTGAGGAACTGTCCCAGATTGAGGGATCATTAGAGGAGGTTTGGGAACAAATTGATAAATTAAACAGTAATAAGTCACCAGGACCAGATGGGATTCACCCAAGAGTTCTGAAGGAACTCAAATGTGAAATTGCAGAACTACTAACAGTAATTTGAAACCTATCATTTAAATCGCTTCTGTACCAGATGACTGGAGGATAGCTAATGTGACGCCAGTTTCTAAAAAGGGCTCCAGATGTGATCCCGGCAATTACAGGCCGGTAAGCCTGACTTCAGTGCCAGGCAAACTGGTTGAAACTATAGTAAAGAACAGAATTGTCAGACACGTAGCTGAGCATAATCTGTTGGGGGAAGAGTCAACATGGTTTTTGTAAAGGGAAATCATGCCTCACTAGAATTCTTTGAGGGGGTCAACAAGCATGTGGACAAGGGGGATCCAGGGGATATAGTGTACTTAGATTTTCAGAAAGCCTTTGACAAGGTCCCTCACCAAAGGCTCTTACGCAAAGGAAGCTGTCGTGGGATAAGAGGGAAGGTTCTCTCATGGGTGGGTAACTGGTTAAAAGATAGGAAACAAAGGGTAGGAATAAATGGTCAGTTTTCAGAATGGAGAGAGGTAAATAGTGGTGTCCCTCAGGGGTCTGTTCTGGGACCAGTCCCATTCCACATATTCATAAATGATCTGGAAAAAGGGATAAACAATGAGGTGGCAAAATTTGCAGATGATACAAAACTACTCAAGATAGTTAAGTCCCAGGCAGACTGTGAAGAGCTACAAAAGGATCTCTCAGAACCAGGTGACTGGGCAACAGAATGGCAGATGAAATTCAATGTTGATAAATGCAAAGTAATGCACATTGGAAAACATCATCCCAACTATACATATACAATGATGGGATCTAAATTAACTCTTACCACTCAAGAAAGAGAACTTGGAGTCATTGTGGGTAGTTCTCTGAAATCATCCACTCAATGGGAAGCAGCAGTCAAAAAAGCAAACAGACTGCTGGGAATCATTAAGAAAGGGACAGATAATATCACATTGCCTCTATATAAACCCAGGGTACACCTACACCTTGAATACTGCGTGCAGATGTGGTCGCCCCATCTCAAAAAAGATATATTGGAATTGGAAAAGATTCAGAAAAGGGCAACAAAAATGATTAGGTGTATAGAACGGCTTCTGTATGAGGAAAGATTAATAAGACTGGGACTTTTCAGCTTGGAATAGAAAACTAAGGGTGCATATGACTGAGGTCTATAAAATCATGACTGTGAAGGCCAAGACTAGAACAGGGTTCAAAAAAGAACTAGATCAATTCATGGAGGATACGTCCATCAATAGCTATTAGCCGGGCTGGGCAGGGATGGTGTCACTGGCCTCGGTTTGCCAGAAGCTAGGAATGGGCAACAGGGGATGGATCACTTGATGATTCCCTGGTCTGTTCATTCCCTCTGGGGCACCTGACATTGGTCGCTGTCGGAAGACAGGACACTGGGCTAAATGGACCTTTGGTCTGACCCAGTGTGTCCTTTCTTATGATGACCTGGTCCCATGCCCTCCTACTTGCCAAATCCTTTCCCCCCGTACCTCAGTTTCCCCAGCTGTAGCCCAGGAAAGCTATTGCCGACCCTGCAGGCACCAGGGGGCGGGTTGGCAGCCTGGAGCTTTGCTGACCATCCCTCTCAATCCTGCTTCTCTGCATCTCTTCCAGGCTGCCGAGCCCCCTCAGAGGAACCCCTCTGCACCAATGCCCTGCCAGGGAGGAGATCTCCCCAAAGATGGCTGGGAAGCTGGAGCAGCAGGGCACCCCCTGGACCCACCCAACCTGGGGAAAACCCCCTGGGAGGCGGGGCAGCCCGAATGTTGAAACAGACCCATGGGGGCTGCCACTGGAAGCTTGGAGCAGAACTGGAATCCCGCGGGGAAGCGCATGTTAGTTTCGGCTGATCTCGGTGTCTCGTCCTAGCCATGGGGCTGGGTGGCCCTTTGCCTGGAGAGCGAGTGCCTGTCACCCTGCATGCTGCCTGCTGCTGGCAGGCCGGGCCCCCACCTCTGTGCCCCCCACGGACAAGCATCGTCCCTGTACACACAAGCTGGAATATAGTCTGTCGAAATGCACTTTTTGTTTCTCTCCGCGCTGAGGAGCCCACGCGGCGGGTCCCGGCCCGCCCTCTCTGCTGATCAGATATAAATATGTATGTATGTGCATTGGGTTCTTGTAAATAACTGGACTGTATCCCGTGACCCTGCAGTCCAACGGCCATTACCACTATCCCGCTGCCCTGCCCAGCCTGGGGAAACGAGATTTCAAGCAGCCCGGTCCTCTTACCACTAGGTGTTCCCTCTGGGCCTCTCGCGGTGTCTCCCCCGGCCCTGTGAGGCCATAGCACATGCTGTTGGCATTAGCCGGCCTTTCTCCCTCCAGCAGATGCGCTGCCCCCTCCTTCGGGCAGAGGCTTTTCTGTAGGGGCTGACTGGAAAACGCACACTGCTCCCATCCCCAGGGCGGGCAGCGGGCTGGGAAAACGGGACACCCCACGGCCGCCTCGGCCGTGGCAAAATCCCTGCGCTGCTTGGAGACAATCAGCCGGGGCTGCGCGGGGATCGTCTCTGCCGCGCTCCTTGGGGCTGGGTGAGCCCAGCCCATCGGATACGATCACCCCTAACGGTGAGCTCGGCACAGCACCAATCAGCTGCTGTGGGTGGGAGGGCTCAGGGTAAGACCCCACTTCGCAATCAGCTTTTGTCTATTCGCAGGCTGCTGCTGCGTTGTCAGAGGCCAGGCCCCGGACCTGCCCCCCTCATCAGCCCCCCGGCCCGGTCCCATATATATATATACACTTATATATATATATATATACACACACTAGCTAGAGGACTGACTGTTTGCTGTTCCATGATGTATAATCGGTTTTATTTTCTTCCCTTTACTGGTAAAGATTTTTTTTTTTAAAGAAAAGTGAAATATTCCGTCGCTGGCGTGCGTGTGATCCTTCACCGGGGGGGGTGCCTGCTTTCACCCACTGCAGCGTGGGAGACGGGGTCCTGCCAGCCAGGGGGGTGTCTGTCCATAGCCGGGAGCTGTTCTCCACGGCGGTGCTGCCGGGGAGCAGAGAACCCGCCCAGTGCTGCTGCTGGGAGTGGAATCGGCCCGGCGTTAAATCAGTCCTTGACCCCCAACGGGGATGTCTCAGGGCTGGTCGACTGAACAGCGTCTACATTGAGGGGGCGCCTGTCCCAGGCCCTTCTGCTCTCAGCACCGGCTCCCCTGATGTGGGCACTGCAACATGCCCTCATCCCTCCCCCCAGCCTGCAAGGCCTCGGCCTGGGACCGCGGGAGAGGAGAGGTTAGCGAGTGGCCTGACGGGCAGGGGGCTCAGCGCTCTTGGGACCATGCAGTTATGGGGTCACTGCCTCTGACCCTGGAGGCCCAGGTAGGCGTTTCCTCCCCATTGCTGGAGCCCTGTCTATAGAAAAAGAGCCTGAATTCCAGTGGGTGTAGAGGGCTCCAGCCCCCCACCCCAAGCAGGCTGTCAAAGCTGTTTAATGGTAGGCGGGAACGGTTACAGGCTGGGCGGGGCCAGAGGCGGAGGGGATCAGAAATCCCACCCAAGGGGCTGCCCCAGCGCTCTTCGGGGCCGCGGGATTCTCGAGTGAGCGGACGCTTTCGCCCCTCTAGCTGGGCACAGCCAGCTCCTCGTCCGGCGCCTTGGGCAGCTGCCTGTAGGTGGGGTCGCGCGGCAGCATCAGCTCCTGGAGCCTGGCAAAGGTCTTGCTCTCAGCGGGGAAGCGGTTTTTCTGCAAGGGTGGAAAGGGGAGTGGGTGAGCAAAGGGGGAACTCGCTTCTGCTCCCACTCGGGGGGGATGCTCTACCTGAAGACCCAGCCCACACGGGGGCACGGTCGTGAATGAACAAGGGCCCTGGGGCTGGACACAGCTCCCCACTCCCCACATGCAGGAGCGTGGTACTCACCCCCAGAGACAGCCGCAGCAGGCCCATCTGCCACTTGACCCCAGCCGTGGCCTTGCTGGCCTGCTGCTGGCTCTCCATGGCTGCCAGGAACGCTTTCAGGCCCTGCTCTGTGATCTGGTTCCCTTGGGGAAGGAAGATGCGGATCAGTGGCTAGTTTAAACCCCATTGCCTCTGGGGCCCAGGGAGGGGTTTGCCTGGGACCTCAAGCAGGGCCTGTGCCCACTGACACTGGCACAGCTGCTGTGGGGCAGAGGATCGGCATCGGGCTCTAGAAGCATGAGCGTCTCCTGCCTCTGCTGGGGATCGGGCCACCCGAGGGAGCCCACGAGCCACCTGGCACTGAGGTGAGTGACCAGGCTGGGCCGCATGGAGGGAGTAGAGAAGGGTGGGTGGTACTGAAGGAGCTCTGTGGGTACGGCCGGGCCCAGCACTAGGGGCTGCAGGCCCCTCTCAAAAGGGGACACACAAGCCTGGCAGAGGCTGCTGCATCTCCGGCCCATTGCCACAGCTCCCAGCCCGGCTCGTTGGCCAAGGGCTGGACGGCCCAGGGGAGCCAGCGCCACTCGGTGGGGGGGCACTTGCCCTGCCAGGCGAGATGGCGGGTTTCCAGCCAGCCCCGGGCCCCGCGCCGACGTACAGGTGAGGTTTAAGTTGATGAGCACGCGGTTGCCTGGCAGGAAGACCTTCCCATCACGGTGCTCAGCCTGTTCCAGCAGTGGGTTCATGATCTCGGTGGGCTCCATCACCTGGGCACAGAGAACGTTTCACCTTCAAGCAGGTCCCAGAGCAGCTCGGCAGGCGGCCCCACTGCTTGGGCACTGCCCAGGAGATGGCGTGGGACGGGGACCAGCCCACTGCTGGTTCTGACGTGAGGCAGGAGATGGGACAGTTTGGCTGGAATCTTCTTAGGCGCCTAAGGGCCTTGGGAGCAAGGATCCCATTGATTTTCCCCTGGGCAGTGGGCTTCTTATTCCTCCAAGCCCCTTTGAAAATCCCCAGCTTTCATGCTGAGCCAATGGTTCCCCAGCTTTTTATCCCAGAGCAAGTCCGCCACCGGGGCAGCTGTTTACACCAGGCCCCGCCGGATAGGAGTGAAGCCCACTGTATCCCCCCCACGGCAGGGGTAGAATGGAACGACCTGCCGGAACTGAACCAAGAGCCACCACAGCAGCTCCGGCCGGGGGGTGGGGGAGGTCAGTGACCCGGCCCGAGGTCTCAGGCCACCAAGGGACTGAGACTCCAGCCCCATAAGTGATCAGGAACTCAACTCTGGATCTGAGCCCAGAGCCTGGCTACTGCCCCAGTAACCCAGTGCCCTGCGAGCGGGGCACGGGGAACACTGTAGAGCAGTCCCTGTACCCCGGGGCTCGCCAGGGCTCCCTCACCTCCAACTCCAGCGGCAGGCTGCGCTTCTCCTTGGCGCCCGATTTGGCTCCTTTGCCTCGAACAACTTTTTGCTCCGGGGTGGAAACCACTAAAGAGAGGGACACGCCCAGAGCTGGGTGAAACGCTCTCAAACCTGACAGAGCCTCTGCCACGCAGAGCTGCACGCTGAGCCACGGGGGCCTCTCCCATGGGCCAGGCGCCCGGCTCAGAAAGGGGCATCGCCTCCGGCCACCTCCCGCTCTGGCACAGTTCACATCTAGTTCCGTAGCCCGCTCTCTGGGGGCCTCTTGCACATGGGACAGGGGGCTAGAATAAGGGGGGGGAGGGTTAGAATTTCGACTCACTTTTCTTGGCTTGTTTAGCATCCTCCTTCTTCGCGGGCACAAAGCCTGGGCCGCCCCCGACCCCCCCGCCACCTGCAGCGCTGGCCTGACCTTTTTCCTCTTTCTTCGAAGGCTCCTGTAAGGAGTAGCACAGGCCTGAAAGGGGCGCTGACAGCCAGGTTCGACGGCTCTTTAATATCTGTCGCTGTTTGCCAAGTCCCCTCCAGGCTTGACCCCACTTCGCTTTCGGCCCCTCGCTGGCCCAAGCGTGTAAACCACCAGCCTTGCACGCCCCCACCCCCGCATGAACCCTGTTTGAAGGATGGAGGCACAGGAAAGCCAAGGTTACCAAATGAACCCAATGGCAGAGCTGGGAAAAGAACCCAGGAATCCTGACCCCCAAGTCTCTGCTCTAGCCACGAGCTCACACGCCCCCTTCAGAAATGAAATGAGAACCCAGGAGTCCTGAGAGCCACTCCCCGGCTCCAAAGCCCCCTCCTTTTCCTTAGCATCGCCACGCGCAGGTCCTGGCCGCTGCGATCCCCCGATCCTTCCGAAGAAGCGGATCTTTGGGAGCCGCTCGCTGTGGGGTTAACCCCTGGCTCCCTGGCTGGTTGGACACGCCTGGATCTCAGCGTTCCTGGGAAGGGCTGCGTGGAAGCCGTCCTGCTCGGTTCAGCCCGCACCCCTCACCTTTTTCTTGGACGCACTCCTGCTCTGCTTGGACGCCTGCAGCTTGTCGATGGTGGTGTTGCTGACGAGGCTGGAGGGACGCTCGCTGCTTTTGGCATCTGCATGTCTCAGAGGCTGGAACCCAGACCCAGAGGGATTTTAACAGAGATTCGGACCCCACGGGCTACTCTACATTTGCTACCTTTAGGACCCTAGGCAGTGCTAACTGTAGCACCTCCTAGCATGGGGTGTGAACTGGCTTAGAACCAGGGACTCTCAGATCCTCAACAATGTGAGCTAAAGGAGTGATGCCACTAGGTGGCAGCAGTAGTAGGTGGTTATCCTTCAGGTGGCTCAGAAAGTAGAGGGGAATACAGCACACACCAGCGTGAATCCTGTTACCCTCAGCGACCTGGTTCCATGGAGCTCTGAGTTTATAGCAACGTTTGGCCTGCCGCTGCGGGAAAGAGGTCAGTCGCTAACACCCCACCCCCCAAAGTGAATTGATCTGTGGGGGTGCATGTCCTGGCAGTAGCCTTACCGACCGGGACCGCTCCTGGGATTCCTTCTCCAGTAAAAGTCGCCTCCTCTCCACGACTTCGGTGTGAGTTAAAGCGAAAGGTCCCAGAACCTAACCCAAAGCAATGGCGGAGTCAGTGCTGCTCAGTCTCTCTTGGTCACAATAGCTTAATTCCCCCTCCTCCACCCCACAGAGGGGGCAGCCCGGGGCCTCGGCACCTCTCTGACCACGCCCGAGGTTAGACGTTACAAAGGCCTGAGCCAGAGAAGTGCTGGGTGCCCGATAAGCATGCTCCGTCCCTCGGGATCGGGTCCCAAATTTCCAAGCTCAGGTCCTGCTCCCTCAAAGGGATGTGCTAGTGCGTCCCGTGCAGCGTTTCGGTCATTCACAGCGGGGGGAAGGGGCTGGGCAGCAAGGATTAGCTCTGGAACTCTCCACTGCAGGATCAAGGCCTGGTGCAGGTCAGGCCTGCCCTGCGCTAGAGGAGAGCTGGGGAGAAGAGCTGTGCTGCTGATCTTTTGTGACGGATGAAGACGTTTTACACGGTAGAAATTCAGCTGGTTTCTCTGTGGAGAGCTGGGAGTTCAGGAGACGGGCGGCGCTGTGCCAGGGATCCTGGTTAGCGGGGAGAGGATGGGATTTTGATTCAGACTGATTCACGCTCTCTCTGTTAATGTGCATTCAACTCTAATGCCTTTTAATGGCTGGGAGAAAAACTTTTTAGTTAAAGAGCCACCACCCCTGCTCCTTTGGTGAGAGACCTCCAGATCCACAACTCGGAGTCCTCCATAGAGCCCTCCAAGCCCACTAGATGTTCCTCATAAGAACGGCCAGACTGGGTCAGCCCAAAGGTCCATCTAGCCCGTGTCCTGTCTTCCGACAGTGGCCAATGCCAGGTGCCCCAGAGGGAATGAACAGAACAGGTGATCATCAAGTGATCCATCCCCTGTCGCCCATTCCCTGCTTCTGGCAAACAGAGGCTAGGGACACCATCCCTGCCCAGCCTGGCTAATAGCTGCAAAGGGAGGACACTGGGCCGGGCGAAGACGTTTTTTCAAGGGTAAATCCATCCCCTGGGCTGAAGAGCAAAGGCCTC